ATGTTTTGACGAAAGACTGTTTATGTTTCTATTATGTTTACTCACTGCTTTATCACCTGTTTGAAACTGTAAAAAACTTTGTTTTTAAAAAGTTTTCACCGAAACTGAGCATGATTTACAAAGTAAATAATTTCTGTATTGTGTTGGAAATAACCTGTAATTGTTGTAGCATATTGACGTGATTTACGTGTTTCTTATTGTTAAGCTTTCATTTACCGTTATTACTAACTGAGTCAGAGTACTCACATTACTCTCTGCACCTTGGGTGCAGATTCAGGTATTTCTGAACCCAGTAGTGGGTGTTTATTGCTCAGAGGCAGAGTCATCGGAGTTTAGCGAGGTAGCTGCCCGGCGTTCGCAGCACAGCTTTTCTCCCTCCCGTTTTCACTAGTCTGTATTTAGTATATTTTCAAATTTTCTCATTGTATTCAGACCTTAGTAGATGCTCATGACTTGTGACACCCCGATGTCGGGCTTGTATATTATTTCTGCAATGTTCATATAGACTTACGTTATGAAATATTTGTTTAATTAAAGGCTTAAAAATGATTATTATTGATTAATGGTTAATTTGGGTATTGTGTCGGCTGACCTTGTCTTCACGAGAGACGCCATCACGACTGGGTCTGAGTTTAGGGTCGTGACACATTCAGCTTTTCATGTTGTAATATCTAGGTCATTAGATTATATATTTTTATTTTTTCTAGTAGCTAGTAGCTTCATGCAACTTATATTTTGTTTTGGACATCTTGTATGTTTTGGACCTTATTTTGGGATTATATATATATATATATTAGCCACTAGGCAGCCTGCCTAGTGGAATATTTGCTTAAAACAATCATAAAAAACATTATCTAGAGTAATTTTGAGACCATTGCGGCTAAAGTTCAAATTGAAATTTAAATCTAGAAGTACAGACATAGAGACTAAGTTTCATCGAATCTCTGGAACATATAGGACATCATGCAATATTAAAGATCGGCCACCACACATGTCCATTCTGCAAGTGCCCTATGTGACCTACTTTTGCATGCCATAAAATAACATCAACACCATTATTACCAGAATAACATGCGATAATACAGCAGTCAACAGAATAGTTATACATAGAAGGATTACAATCTAACACAATAAAACCATCATAACAATGTCCAAAATCATAAAAAATATTGTCTAGAGTAATTCTGAGACCATTGCGGCTAAAGTTCAAATTGAAATCTAAATCTAGAAGAACAGACACAGAGACTAAGTTTAATCGAATCTATGGAACATATAGGACGTCATGCAACATTAAAGATCGGCCACCACACATGCCCATTCTTACGACTCCAGATATCGTAATTTTCACTATTCAGTTTGTCACCCTTGTTCAAGTCAGCAATGATACTTTTCGACGCCATGTCTGTTATTAAAGATATTATTACAAGTTTAACTCATCAATATATATTGCAATTAATTTATGCATGTGATTACACACTCAAGCAAATTAATTATAATATTAATTCTACATGTAGTATAGAATCGAAAGGTCACTACATTTCCATTCATCATCTATATCTAAATATTATAATTAATATTAAAATCACTTTTAGTGTGTACTTCATTTCAAGTCTCGATCCATTACAAAATAAAATAATAATAAATACATGTAACTGGTAAGACAAATAACACAATTCAAATTTTATTAAAATAAAATACATAATAATAACAATTTACATGTTTGCTAGAACATACATATATCAATTAAATACTAACTCTTTCACATATACGCTAAAAGATACACTAGGCCAAACATCATGATGATAAATTTCAGTTAAAACTTCACCCCAAGGCTCTCGAAGAGAGTCCGCTAAAATAGCGAATGCTTCTCAATCAATTATCTCTATGTAATTAGACAATTTAGCTCTTTTTAACTGCAAAATGTGTACATGTTCAGGAATGAAAGTATCATGGCCTATTTTAAATTCTTTAAACTCACTAAATTTCTTTTTTCCTTCCCTTCGTTCAGCCCTTCGATCTCTTAACTAATTTTGCATCGCTCTCGGGACATTCCTGATGACTTCAGGCTCTGAATCTGAATCATTATAGAAATAAGTACCTGCAACGATGCATCCTTCTATGGTGTCCCCTTCCTCGACTTCGTGAACTCCCACTTGGAGTAATTCGAACTTGTCCATGTTCAGCCATGTCTGAAATAGGACCAAGGAAACAATAAGAATGGCTACAACCATTTATTGTGACAACATATATCACAATTACTTGTAGAAATATATCAATTGAGGGATTAGGACTAAACTAATTTTCAAAAAAAATTGCACTAAGACCAATTCATTAAAAATTTAGATTCATAGTCTTAGCATATTGAATCGTTTTTATCTTATAACAAATACCAAAAGGATATCCAGGAAAAGAAATTAAAATATATATATATATATATATATATATAAATCGATGTGACATAAATTTCTTCTGGAAAACATACATAAAATACTTGGAACCAAATTTTTTAGTATTCCTAATACTTGGACAGAATGTTATTCACATTTATACTTCACTGTCCTTGTTAATGATTCAAACATTTGTTAGGCAGATCGGTAATTTACTTTTCCCAATGGATATAATCATTTCTACATTATTTCTAACTAACAAAAAAATATATGAAATATTCATTTTTTCAAGTCTGAATATCATGTAAACTATCAAAACATGAAAGACTTCACTGTATTTGTTTTTGCAAGTAAAGAAACCAAAATAATCATTATTCATTGAGATAATAGATAAAGAAAATATTATAGCAGTGACTTATTCCCATGGGCCAAACTGCATTAACACATAACTATCTCACATTTACATACGAGAGGCGCAGGGATCCAGAAAATTAGGCTTCTATTTTATGATATTGATATTTTGTGTTATTTGTTTGTGGGTTCTCTTTCACGCCACCAACTTGTTATTTATATCAAATTCATTCGAAAGATAACAGTGAAAATATAACAAACACAGAAACTCAAAAAATACAGAATAAATGTGTATTCATCTTGACAGAACATACAGTCACCGCTCTGATACCAATTTTAATCTAAATTACGACGCAAGAACAACAAATTATATGTACCTTGTTACGCCAGCTGAAATCGTTGTAATTGCTACCAAAATAATTGCTCCCAAATATACTTTGAATCATTAGGAAACAATGTTAATCTTTCACCAATTAAATGCCATAACTTGTGTGTGTTTTTCGTGTAGAGAGGATTAGTCAGAGAGAAAATTCCTACACTTGAGAAGCTTTGTGTTTTCTCTTTAACATAAATAGGCAGAGTAATAGCAGTTAAGGAAGATAACTCACCACTCTCTTTTGCACATTGAATTTAGTGGGAGTTTGTCATTATATGGTAACTTCTCTTAATCTCTCTTACTTATCTCTCATACTTGGATCGGGTCAGCCTACATGGAGTGACTCACAACCCATAATCCAACAATCAAGATAGATTACAGTTAAAAATTAAAGAGAGCCTCGTGCTCTTGGATTCGAATTCGATCAATATGATATGAACATAACTCACCATCTATAAGAGAGATATTAGTATAAAAAGCAATAGGGGTACAAAATAACTTGCTGTTGTGCATGTGAAACTTAGAAAATAAGTCAGAATATATTTCTATTGAGATAAATTATGATACGAGAAAATAACTTTACTTTTCATACTATACGTACATTATGCTTCTCTCCATTAAAAATTTATCGTAACTAGTGTTCGAACAATATTAATTTACCATAATTAACTTACTTAATTAGGTAAGAATACATACTAAGCAACCATGATTATCTGAAAGAAGTCCATATACAAACACATATGGTGCATCTTAATTTGGTGTAAATATAAGGTGCAGGTAAATATTTTATTGAATAAAATACATTACACTTACAAAAGAATTTATAAAAATACTTTTGAAAAATACATATATTTTGAAAGTTAAAGTTATTCATTTCATTTGTCATAATTTCAGATAAAAATTGCAATTTTATGTTATATTAAAGATTTTCCTATTTATTTAATAAATGAGAATCCTAAAAACATTAATATTCTTATTTTACATCTTAAAACAAAATATCAAAAATAAATTGAATTGAACCAACACTGCAAATAAATTGAATAATTGGTAGAATTGTGGTTGTGACTAATGATGATAACTGTGAGTGATGATACTTAATAATGGCGGGCGAGCGTGGTGATCGCGGTGGTAGTTAATAATGATGGACAACGATAACAACGTCGGTTAGTGGTGAGAGTCAAGGGCGGATTTAGGGGGCAGAAGGGGGTTTACCCGAACCCCCTTCGTCAAAAAATTACATCGTGCATATAAAGTAGAATTTATTTTTTTACCTCTATATATTATGTTTTGAATCTCCTTAGCACAGCCTAAAACATAGCTCAGTGATCAAGGGAGTTCAAAACTTTTATGAAATCACTAGTTTAATTTCCACTGACTGCCGCCACTGGTGAGAGTACATGGAGTAATGTGAAATGCCATAATTGTAGAAATTCTTGAAGGGATAGCAATAAATATAATACTTAAATAATATTAAGACTACTATAGATTTTAATTATTCATATTTATTCAGACCCATTAAGTAATTTTTAACTAAAAAAATAAATATACTTAATGATTGAAATTAAGTTTTAGACCTTGTTAAGTACTAACAAATGAGTTGTACTTAACTTTATGGGATTGGAAGTTGATACAAGTACAAGTGTTTTTTTCTTCTTTTTTTTTAACATTACCAAAAAAAAAAGAGTTGTAATTGTATCAACTTCCAATCACCATAAAGTTAAGTGGTCTTTTTGAAATTCAAAACTAGTTTGGGGGTATTGATGTAAACTCTGAAAAAGGTAAACTAATAGATATGCATTACGTACATTCATATATCGGATTATGAGTATCTTATATCCGGATATGCACTATCTATAAATTTCAAAAAGTGTATAGAATCCTACTCACTTCCCATCTAACGGCTGTAAAAATCCACAAAAGGACCACTACCTTCATCTACACCGTCAAAAGCAAAAAATATCAAAAAGAAAGCAGAAAAGAATTTTAATTCAGAAAAAAGGAAAAAATAATCTCAATTTTCTCAAATCCAAAAACCTCTCTCAAAATTCTCTATGGAGCCGAATCATGAAACTAGTGGACTCAGCTCTTACTTTCACCACCACCAACCACCACCACAACCACCGCAAAACCCTAACCCCACCACCAATGGAATTGTACAAAACAACTCCACTAACAATTCCGCCGCCGCTACCACCGCCACCGCTTCTCACATGGTGTACACTGGTTCACTGCCGTCCGCCGCCGTGTCGCCGCCGATGGAGAGCGTGAAGAGAAAGCGAGGGAGGCCCAGAAAGTATAGCACGCCAGAACAAGCTGCGGCTGCTAAACGGCTCTCTTCGGCTTCGGCTCCGCCCAAAAAGAGGGATCATGCTTTGAGCCGTTGTGCTGGAGCTGACGCGGCTGGTGGTTCTTCTAAGAAATCCCAATTGGCCGCTCTGGGTGAGTCCCACAGTCTCTCACGCTCGTGCACGCGCCACCACGGAATTTTAAAAATCTGTTCTTTGGTGTTTATATGCATCTGTTAGAATTTAGAATGTGTTTGAAAGTAATATAGTATACCGCATTATATGCGGGAGGGGCATATAGGCACATGCTTATATCCGTATCCATGCTTTTCTATTTTTTTATTTTCTGCCATAGTTTATTGGTTACTTTATTCTTGTGTTGGACCTCCTACTTCTCCACCTTTTTTTTTTCCATTCCTTAAACTAAGGTTTTAAAAATGTGATCTTTGCATGGTTTGTATGCAGTAGAAAAATATGTTACCTTGTCCATGTTACCCCCTTCTTATCAATAGCTTTGCTGGTTAATAGAGGAAAAGATTAGCAATATTTTTAAAAAAAAATCAAGTGCAGAGGCAGAATACTGGGCTCTGTATTCTAAGAGGCAGCCACCAGTGAAGTAGTAAACAAAGAGTCAATCTAAGAGATTTGCAAAGCATTACAAGTTTGTTGCCTTCTGTTTTATACATGCTCGTGCTCGGGGGGGGAGGGGGGGGCTGTTTAATTGGAAGAGCTTAAATTAATTTTTTGCCTCGTATATATAATTATTTCAGACTTTGAGCTAGTTGACTCTGTTGCCCAATGTTTAAAAGTCCTAGTTACTATTGATGAAGGCTGGGAAGGGGTCCAGTTTTACTCAAATTTCTCCTATTGGTTTATGCAGGTAATGCTGGACAAGGTTTTTCACCTCATATCATCAATGTGTCTACTGGAGAAGTATGTTCAGAAATTTTCTTCCAAATTCTCTATTAACTCCTCTCATTATGCAAAGTTCACCGTGCTTGAATCAATGATAAATGATTCCTCTCATATACTTTTATCTGTTTTTTATAGATGCTTTCACTCTACATATCTATTAATCCTCAAAAAACGTTCTTGAAGGAAAGAACGTTCTTGATCAAATAAATTGGATAAGGGATCAAATAAATTGGAACAGATAAAACAGACAGTAAGTCCATAAATTGTACTGGGAAAAGTTATAAGGTGTTGGGACTTTGGATTTCTGGAAGATTGGAGCTATTACTTGAATATTCAACTGATGATACTTCTATTACACTAACTCATGCACTTCCTAGATGGTCTAGCTTGCTTATGTCCAATTCCTATGACGCGCTTACACCCATTTTTTTTATTTAGCTTGCCATCATTTCATTTTGCTGGGGTAACTCGTAAACATCATAATTGATGTTTTTAGGCTACATAAATCAGTTCCACTTAGGTCCATTTATTGTACCTCTAGGGAAGGGAAGATTTTATGTTAATAGATTATCCTTTATGCTCAACCTTTCCTCTTTTATTGATGCATGGAGCGTGTTACTCTTCTCATGTATGATTTTTTGATACTACGGCTTCCTTGGCTAGTTACTTCTTTTCCTCTTTTATTCAAGAAGGGTCGTTCTCTTTTATTTCCTTTCGAATTTAAGATCTGAACTACATGGCTTGATTTGCTTATTCATTTAAGATGCTTGCATTAGTGTAGACCGCCTACATCACACCCCCTTGGGGTGCGGTCCTTCCCCGGATCCTGCGGGATGCTTTGGTGCACCGGGCTGCCTTTTCATACCGAAACAGTTATGGAATATGGATTATTTTCTCTAACATAGTTATTATTGGATGGATATTTTATATGATAGAACTCTTGCTTATACAATTATTTGTGTGCCAAGAATGAAGGAAATTTTCGCATTTCCTGTAAGGTTAAAACTTGTTTAGTGTGAAGATACAAGCCAAAGAGGCAGTTAAATAGGTGACTCCAACATTGTCTATGAGAAGTAAGGATTATATAAGTAAATGATACCATGCATTAAGAGTCATATGATTAAAACCATATACAATGGACGTCAATCATTTGTTGCCTGCCTGATCTGTAAACTCCTTGTTGGTATATCTTTATAATGATGACAAGAATATTGTCCTAGGTATATTAAAAGTTTTGTTCTAATTGGAGAATTAGGTTTTTTTTCTAGGATTAGTTCTAATGTGTGCATTGATATTTTTTAAAAGAAAATTACCTGATGCGTGCAAAAGCTCAAGCTTAAAATTTCTCCCATATAACGTTGTTATAGCATTTAATTCAGATAAAATTGCCTATGGGAAAATCAGCATCTCCTTCTAATTATGCCAACATTCAAGAAATTTGGTAACTTCGGGATCTTGTGGCTACCAACTTAGATATAGAAAATTCAGCTAGGAACATACCTATAACCTATCTAAAGTAGTAGCTTCAGTCTTTTATTTTTAAATCAAGAAAGTACTAGCTTCTCTTTTTTAGGATTCTTGGTGAAAAACTGAAAACTGAATTTGAGCTATTGTGCACAGCCAGGGGCCTACGCAGAATTTTTAATAAGTGGTATCGATATTTAAGGAATAAAATTTGTAAATTGCAAATTTGTAATAAACTGGGTGGGACAAAAAGCAAAAGAGATGAGAAATTTAGAATAACGATAGCAAGTAACATCTCTAAAATTTGTAAATTGCAAAAATAAAATAATATTTTTAAAATCATAATTCGAAATTATATTGAATAATATACACATGCTTAAATAACTTCCTTTATGCAATCAAATATTTTTTTAATCACTTATTGAATGCGGGCCCACCAATTTAATTGATTATTTTTTGCAATGAAATTGAGGTTCAGCTCTGTATAAACTCTAGTTTTTCAAAAGGACCATGCTAAAAATTCTGAAAACATAAAACATCTTCTATGAGGTCGATCCCCCGACGTCAAAGTAAGAATATTGCTGCGCCTAACCATTCTGCCCAATGCTGCTACATGCCATAAATGGTCATTTATATTTTATATTATAATTCTATGTCTTTTGTATATATGTCTATATAGTAAAATCTTCCGACCAAGCAGTGTCGGGTGGCACCGCCGGGGTAAACGTGCGTCTGCCCCTGTGCACAGCGTCAGAAAGGAGAAAGGATAAACTGATTCTTCTGGTCTTCTACTCTATTGATAGTCTGTGAAATTCGGAAAAGCATATATGTAACCCATTATCTTATTATAGTTATCACATAGCACAAAGTGAAGATAGCAAAACAGCTAGCCTTATAATCATCTGTTCATTTTGTTATTAAAGGGAATATCTGGTTTGTTCTCTTTTTCACTTGTTAATTGCATATATTATAGAGAAGAGAGAGACCCATAAAAAGAATGTAATGGAAAAGAGAGATTGATGCTGCAAGAGAATATAGTTTTTTCTTCTCTTGCTAAATCGAATATAATTTCTGTTTAAGTGCCTTTTGATTTGATCTAGTTGCTAGGGCTCATGTTCTCTTCTTTTCTCTTGCTTCACTTGTCATTACTTATGCCAATAGCAAAGATCTTTTTGAAGATATCCCCATCTCCAAAATCTTTGGCGTACTATGGGTTCTCAGATATTCGCCTTTTCCTGAATCTTTGTGTTCCATGTTACTCTTGCAGTTCAACTGGAACTTGGTTTATGTTCCTTTTGACCTCAGTAACTGGTTGTAATAAGAAATGTTTGCATTCCATTTTCCTATCCGGGTTTTACCAATTGATATTAAGTCAAAAGTGATGTTCCATTACCGTGTTTGCATGGCATCTGATCTATTTAGAAGTACTACCCATGGTTAATTTCTTGTTGCACCAACTTAAATGGTGCCTTTAGTATCATCTCTTTCTGTATGCTGAGCATATCAAACTAATTTCTGTTTCTTTGTGATCAAACCTGTGATGTTGATGATTAGTTTTCACAGATATATGATTCAGGGTTTAGTCCTTTACTCATCCATTTCATTATTCATCAGAATATGTAGCATTAGTTTTCCTTAACATGCATGGCAGTTTCAATGGCACATCACCTTTCCTAATTAACTTCACTGCATTGAAGATGTACTTCTGACTACATATTGTATTTGTCTGCCATTTTATGCTTATGCCTTTTTCATAATTCACTTAACAGGATGTCGGTCAGAAAATTATGATGTTCATGCAACAAAGCAAATACGAACTATGCGTATTATCAGCATCTGGCTCAATCTCTAATGCCTCTCTGCGTCAGCCAGCAACATCTGGAGGAAGTATTACATATGAGGTAGAAAATTTCTTACCGATGTGGTTGGCAATGGGAAGCACTGAGTTTGCAGACAAACATAAAAGCAGAATAAAGAAGATACAAGAATTAATCATAAAGTGAAGGAAATTTGCTGCTTTTCTGTTCTGCATGCTTTCAACTCTAATTCTATTGTTTTGGTTGTGCGTCATTGTTGTTGATTAAATTTATCCAAAAAATTGACTCTAGTTGATTGGAATCAGGATGCCTTGCAAAAATATACTGATAATAGGACACATCAAATCAAGCGTGATATTGATAGAGTCCCCATATCGTCCCTGAATTTCGTAAATTCCCATGGGGTTCTTACTTGACTTCCACACATGTTTCACACGCAGCTTAAATTTTCGTAATGTAACTGGAATCTAAGCCATTGCGATGCTTTACTTTTTATGTTGTGGTTTTTGATTAAAAATGAGAGAGGGGAAGGTTCTTCTAGAATGATCAAACAATGCTATCACCCCTAATACAAGCGAAGTAGTAGTACATCTACTATGTGTTTTATTTTTCTTTCTTTGGAGGTGAAACTTAGTTTAATATTAGTCCAACTTTCTTAACCTGTAACTCTTTCGCCTTACTTTTTTTTCTTTTCTTTTAGTAGTGTGAAACCTCTTTTGCGTTACTTTAACTCTTTGTTCCTTCTTTTCGAGGAAGTAAGACTTAAACTATTTGTTCCTATATAGCCCTATTTTCTCTTTTGCGGTTCAAGCACAATTATGTATTCTTATGGCAGCGGTCATAACTTGACCAAATACTTTATACTTATGTTGAGATGCAACAATGAAAAATATATCAATCATACCAGATATTCCAATAAAGAACATAGGGCCGATCTTACTTCTAGGACCATAATATCGTCACGATGCTCACCAAACAATGAGAAGAAGTGGATTTAATATTTCATATTTTTAATTTATATATGTCAACTGACACTTGAAACATCTACTATTTGCCCGATGTCCAAGAAAGACCAGCTTAATATTTGGTCTTAGTCTTTAGCATGTAAACAACACATTTTTGAGATGCCTAAATAGTATCCATGCTTTATCCGTTGGATGTAGAACAGCCTAGCAGGGTTTCCCGTTACCCTTTTCTGTTTTACAGTTATAGTAAGCTGCCATTAACATCATTCTATGCCAGAGGATCATCACTCCAGCCTGTCATAAGAGAACATTATTCAAAATTCAATGGTCTTTTGTTGCATTTTTCCTGTCAATGTGGTATACAGCACAGTTATACAACTTTGTATTACTTCATGCCAGGGGCGATTTGACATTCTCACTCTTTCTGGATCTTACGTACGCACTGAGATTGGAGGCAGAACCGGTGGGCTTAGTGTGTGTCTGGCAAGTACAGATGGTCAAATTATTGGAGGCGGAGTTGGTGGTCCCTTGATAGCTGGAGGCCCAATTCAGGTTTTCTACTTTTAAGAATATTATGAGTTTTTATTATGATCTTAGACATCAACAAAATTAATTAAGATATTGATCTTCAGATTATCTTATCTGAGATTAGAGAAAAAAATCTGTTAACGGGACAAAGCTGGCTGAACAGTTGGCATGCTTTCTCACTGATAGCTGCGTACCTAACTTGAGACTCATTCTGTTTCTTCATTTCTTCTTGTTTTTATTTCCTTATGCTTTGTCCACCTATGAAGTAGTTGGTGAAGCATCTGTCCATGTATAAGGTTGAAGTTTTCTCATGGTAAACAAATCACAACTGATACAAGTACAAATCACAACTAATAAGTACAAGTCCAGATGACCAAAATGTATCTTTGACTTTCTTGCAATAAACGTAAAGACCCATTTTAAAACGAGAAGTGGTGATACTTATACAAAGAAAGGGCAAGAAGCCAGTGATCAATCTGTTTAATTTGCTTGTGAAATATAGAATCTTCTCTTTTTCTTTTGTGACTTTAAGTTCCGACTTTCTGACAGCTTGTTATTGACTGTGTTGGGTAGGTGATTGTTGGCTCATTTTCAGTTGACTCAAAAGCTGGTGGAGTAAAGAATGATATTTCTCAGCAAATTGGTGGGTCACCAATGTCAAGTGTAGGCTTTCGCTCGGTGGTTGATTCTTCTCATCAAAATATGGGCGGAGGTCAATTTATGATGCAGTCTCGCAGCATGCAACCAACGCCTTTACATCAAACTGAATGGAGGGTTAGCACCGGTCAGGGCATGCACCAGTCTCCAGAAAATGGGGACTATGACCACCTTCAAGACTAGGCAAAAATTGTCGTGTTAGGAGTAGTGTGAACAACATTCGTAAGTTATAGGTTCTTTTGGAAGAGAATATACAAACTCTTTACATTGTACAGGTTAGCGACACCTCCTCTAGTGTCTTTTTTGCAGATGAAAACTGCTGCCAAATGCACTGATGTATGGACCTCAAAAAATTTTCCTGCATTGCTCTGGATTACCTTGCTGTCTTTGTGCTTTAGAGTTATCTAAAAAAAAAATTCATTGGGGATGTATAAAACAAGGAATTACTGACTTGTGTATACTGGTGAAAAAAGAGGTTGATCAGGTCTGAGTTACCTAGTTGCCTTAAGCCTATATATCATACCAAGTCTGTACTTATTCTCACAAGGGAGTGGTGGGTATGTCTCTTAACTTTTTGCTACTTGGTTACTATTCTGTCCAGTGAGTTTAGATGGCTGCATTATGCCCTTTGCTTGGACGGCTCGCTTTTATTCGGGCTTTATTAGCAGTTGGATGGAGCTAGCTTGCACGCACCTAACTATTCAATCAGTTCTTACTACCATCTCTGATCTCACTAGCACAGTTAGATCAAGCCGTAGACTTTGGCTATTATTTATACAATCCACGCACGGGGAATCTCCAGCAGCTGTACCGATGGTTAGATTTCGGATGAGCTTTGTTGTGTCATAGTAGAGGCCGCTCACTATCATGTGGCAACTGGCAAACTGTGTCCATATTTGTAAACGTGCTTATTTGCTGGTCTCAAATTATGGTCAATTATGTCAATTTGCCTTTGAATATTATGCTGTGCATAGTAAAAGTTCTTGGAAATTTCTCATAAGGCCATTGAAATGAAGACCACACTTTTAGCCATCTACTACGCCCCCTAGTTTATAATTGTTTATTACACAAGTCTCAATGTGTATATTCATATTCAAGCCACCATAGTTTTTGAATTAAGGGAATTAAATATATATATATATATATATATATATATATATATATATATATATACAAAAATAAAAAGTTTTCCGAGCTACACAATATATTTTCTCCGCCAAGGGGTGTCATTCCCTTTGTATAAGATGGCTCCGCTACCGGTTACAATCTTAGCTGTAGTATTGTATTTTTGAATTTCTAACTCCACAACTACTAGCAAGTGTCATGTTCCGGTCTTGATGGCTCCTGGACCGAGCCCTAGCTGTCTTGGGTTTTTCTTTTATTTATTTTTTTTAAAAAAATAAAAAAATTATCTCAAGGAAGGGAGAGAGGAAATGAAATGTTACGCTGCTAATGGAATTTGAACCCTCCAGCTTCACTCCACTGTCTTGGGCTTAGGCCCTTGCGCCAAAAGTTATTAGAAAAATTATGCGACACAGCAAACATATACGGTATATTTTATTATTTGTAGCTGTATTTTTAAAAAATTATTATTTGTAGCATATTTAAATTTTATAGCAAATTCACCTGTAATACTAAATTAAGAGATCAATTATTTTGAACTGAAACAAAAAAACAACAAGTTTTTATAGTTCGGTTGATTAGAGCGCCCGCTTAGCAAGCGAAGGCTTTGAGTTCAGGCTCTTGATAACAATAATTGATTATGAAAATTCCTCAAGATTATTTATGTGGAAATTAATAGTGGGGAGATATACATGGACCAAAAATTGACGCAATGTCGCGTTACCGAGGACCTCGTTTCAAAAAAATACGCCGCCTGGGGGCTTTACTAGGACTAACTAATAAAAAGCCTAGGAACGGAAGTGATCTTAGAAACCAATCGCGTTCCGGAAAAAAATCTCAATATCGTATTCGTATAGAAGAAAAACAAAAATTGTTTATGTAAAGTTATGAATGGCGTTTGTCACTGTCGAAGTTTCTATTCTTGGCTTACACTTTCTCTTCTAAAATTCACGTGCTCTACCAAAACCCTCATTGGCCACCGCTTGTGATTTTACAAACTCAAAAGATATACTAAAAGCCTTTGAGATATTTTTAATCGGGAGGAAAAGGACAATAATTGATATTGTAGTTCAAACAGCACTTTTCCTAATTTGGTTATGTCTTTTCCACCTTGGTCTACGATTACGTGTCGCTCACCTCATAATTTCTTGTATGTCAAATAGAACTATGTAGAATATAAGCTATTTCCAAATTAGGGAAGGAGTGATCAAGAAAAGAAAAAGTCGGGAAATGCTGACTACTAGCCTATTTGGCCAAACTACTTTTTGGCTAAAAGTGTTATTTATTTTTTTGCCAAAAGTATTATTTTAAAAGTTAAAGTGTTTGGCTAAATTTTTAGAAGAAAAAAAGTACTCCATTTTGAGTAGAATTAGAAGTAGTTTTTGAAATGCAGAAAATATCAACTTCTTTCTAAAAATACTTTTTTGAAAAGTACTTTTGAGAAAAATACACTTAGAAGTACTTTTTAAAAGTTTAGCCAAACATTAATTGTTGCACAAAAGTATTTGTTTGTCAAATACAAACTACTTCTCACCAAAAGTATTTTTTGAAAAATACTTTTCAAATTAAGCTGATTTTAAAAGTTTGGCCAAACATGCTATAAAACTCAACGGTATAAGGAGTCGTTGGGTCGGAAAATAAGTTATCTCAGGATTAATTATCCTGGGATTAGTTACAAGATCCTCCCATAGGGATAAAAATAATACTACAATCCTGAAATAAATAATCCTAATTAGTTATACCACAATTTTATCTCAACCAAACGTGAGATAAACGCATCTCAAATTTAATTTTAAAATTAATTATCTCTTATCTCTCATACAAAACGAACCATTAAAGATGAATTAGCCTTTACTTCTTAGTGTAGGAGAAGTTTGACATCAGTAATTTTGAGAAAGTTTCGTTTTAGAAATCAACTTATTTAAAGCAAAATAATAATTTTGGTTCAGCTACTCAACTATTTAATTGTGAGAAAAGACTCGATATCACGTAAAATCACTTTGCGGCACATTTTGATTTGTTGCTACAGTATTTACAAGAAGGTGGAGAAATGATTTTTGTTGTGCATTTTAAATGGAATTCAATTTGGGATATGATTTGAAATAATTTAATCGCGTAGAACTAGTTGAATCAGCCGTGAAACCACTATTATCGAATTGATTTTCTTTTAACTATGTAAAGAAACTTCATAAAAAATTATCACATAAGTTTTTTTGTACTTAAAAACAGGCATTGGTTGTTAACTGTAAGAAAGCTCGAATTATTCACCTCATTTGCTCACCTAACAAAGTGGATTAGGCGAATAATATGTGGTAAAACATTGACTAATACGTACGTACCAACAACTTTGAAAGGTGAATTGATCTTGTGACCAAAAAAAATAAAAAATTGATCTTCTCAAATTAGCGAATGATCGATGTCTTTTTTTGACCTTGACCATTACCCCTACTTTTAGATATACTCCATTAGACATGCATAAAGTAACGTTATTAGTAGCAGAGGATTCCTACGTCAAGATCCTTTTTAATAATCTTGAAAATATTGACTCAATGCCTCATCCTACTTCCTCTTTCTATGTGATTTATAGCTCAAACTTTTATCTGTTTTATGTGAGAATTTTTTATAGAGTTAGTTACACTAAATATTCTTATAATATAATTTAGTTTTAGATACAACTTAACTTATATATTTTAAAATCAAACGCTTAACCCCTCATATTATAATTTTTTTACATAGATACCAATGTGGTGAGAACCGTAACTAAGTATATCAAAATATGATCATAAAATTTAATTATATTTCAAAATTATCTTAAACTTACTTATTTAGGTGAAGTTTCATTTTTGTAGGATTTCCATTACATAAGAGGTTTAAATGTTTTTAGAAAAATAATGATAATATCATTAAGATAAAAATATTTTTTCAAATACGTAAAAATTCTGGTTATCTTATTATGTATTTTTTTGTCAATTTTCTATCTAGGAGTTTCAAAAAAATATATGTTAAAAAATATTTATTTTCTATTTAATCAAAGGCGTGGACAAGATTTTCAAAAAGAAATGTTTATTTTAAAAAAAAAAAAAAATCACACAAAAAAATACATAAATTTTTTATTTACAATTTGACTTCTAACTATATTTTAACATGCTTAGTACGGTTATAACTCACAGGGGGTGTAAGTGTAGAATTTATACATTACAAGGGGATGCATAATAGAGAGGGTGTATCCGAAACTTTTGCAAGGGTGTTTAGTGTGATTAACCTATCATACATTCTCGTTTCTTACTCAACACTCCAACTCCTCTTAATTTCTATCTTACGTCGTGTTGATTCTCTTTTTTTCTTATTGTTGAGTGTTTTAGATTCTGCCTTATTTTCTCAGTTTTGCACCAAATCTTGTGTTAATTTCTAATTCAACGAGCTCGAACTAAATAAAACTAGTCATTTTGGTGTAGATGATGAAATTGACATTACTTGACTGATACTAGGTCTTGAATTTAAAATAGTTTCATTAGGGATATAAACAATTGAATGTTTATCTTTTAAAAAATAATCACACAAAAAAATACATATAAATTTTTATTTACAATTTGACTTTTAACTATATTTTAACATGCTTAGTACGGTTATAACTCATAAGGGGTGTAAGTGTAGAATTTATACATTACAAAGGGATGCAAGTTTTTGATCTTATAATAGAGAGGGTGTATCCGAAACTTTTGCAAGGGTTTTACTTGGGGCATTTGCATCTATACCCGTTTTTTGTGTCACATTTTAATTTGTGCCCGCTTTGCAAAAAAAATTGCAAGCGTACCCGCTTTTTCGCATAACTTCAGCACACGGGGCTGAAGTAGCAAAGGCAATCACGCAAAACTTCAGCATTCTAGTAGCCGGACCTGAAGTTCAGCTCTAGAGCTGAAGTTTTTGTGTTGTAACTGGGAAACTTCAGCTCTAACTGTGAAACTTTAGCTCTAGAGCTGAAGTTTTTGTGTTGTAACTGTGAAACTTCAGCTCTAGAGCTAAAGTTTTTGTGTTGTAACTGGGAAACTTCAGCTCTAGAGCTGAAGTTTTTGTGTTGTAACTAAAAAACTTCAGCTCTAGAGCTGAAGTTTTTATCTTTATAACTGGGGAATCCCACTATCAAGATGTTCTAGTTTTTGATAACTCACCCAAATTTTATGTAATCGGATCCAATTCAGAGTGTTAAAAGGAAAGTGGTAATTGATGCTTTTTGATTGATCAATCCGCAAAACCATGATGCCAAGGCAGACAACGTCGAATCTGGGGCGTCTGAACAAGCCAGTAAAATTATTTATTTTTTAAGTTTT